GATACCGAAATCTGCATAGAAAGTGCACAGTGCAATATCAGTACAACCGACCCCATGTACTGGTAAGTGTCGAGCCTAACCTCGGCGAAGTAGTGACGAGGCTAGGACACGACAACAATATAAACTTGTGCAGTTAAATCATATACGAGAAACAATAATAACAGAAATTTAACAGATAAAGACGGGAAAGGGAAGCATGCTGAGGGGAATATCAAATTCTAACAGTAATAAAGTAAAGAAGCAAGGTAAACATCAAACTTTGAACCAACAGAAAAGATAACACAGTAACACGTGCACGGCATCACCCTTCGTGCTTTATTCTTGTCTGCACCATAAAAATCAACAGAAACGGCATGGCATCACCCTTCGTGCATTAACTCTCTCATAATCATGGCACGGCATCACCCTTCGTGCATTAACACTCACAGAAATATGGCACGGCATCACCCTTAGTGCATTAACACTCACTGAATATGGCACGGTATCACCCTTCGTGCATTAACACTCTCTCACAATATGGTGCACGGCATCACCCTTCGTGCTTTACACTCTTCCTCACCCAAACAATAGAAACAATAACATCCGGGTAAGGGAATCAGCTATAACCAGTCTAGTTTCAATAGTTAAATTCACAATGTAAATCTCAACTTTAGTCAATACTCAACAATTACCCAATAACAAGAAAATATAACCAAACTTGTTCAACATGAAGAGTAACCAACTTAAGCATGAACAATACATGATAAGAGACACAATGGTTACAAGTATAAGACTTATTTGCATGATATGACACAACAACAACGTATAGATAATCGTCACCACCTGTACGTCGTACTCAACAACTAAACACGTAGCAAATAAGACAACAACACCTATTACCTCAAGCTAAGGTTAGACCAAACACTTACCTCGATTCCATGGCCGTAAGTCAACCCTCAATTACAGCTTTACCTCTCGGTTCCACTTCCAATACGCTTGTATCTAGTCATAATTAACTTAATAACATCAATAAATGCTAAAGAACTCAATTCCCATGCTTAATTATAGATTTCCCAACATTTCCCCCAAAAAGTCAAAAACTGACCCCGGGCCCGCTTGGTCAAAACTCGAAGTTTGGACCAAAACCCGATTATCCATTCACCCACGAGCCCAAATATGCAATTGGTTTTAAAATCCAACCACAATTTGAGGTCTAAATCCCCAAATTTCGAAATTCCTAAATTCTACCCAAAAACGCCCAATTTCCCATGAAAACCCCTAGATTCTAGGATGAAATCTTGTAAAAAGATGAAATAGATTGGAAGAAATAAGTTAAGAATCATTTACCTATGATTTGGGGAAGAACTTGCTCTAGGAAAATTGCCTCTTGGAGTTTAGGTTTTGAAAATTTGAAGAATGAATGAAAAATCTCGTGCAAGACCCTTTTACTCAGCTGCAAATGTCGCAATTGCGACCAGAGCTTCGCAAATGCGAAGCTCGAAATTGCGAAAGGTCTACCGCAATTGCGAAGACTTCACAATCCCTGCTGCCTTTGCAAATGCGAGGAAAGTGTCGCATTTGCGATCACAGACCTCGCAATTGCGATCAAATATTGCGATCCTTTCCCTTCCCAGACTCCCTTCGCATTTGTGAAGGTTTGTTCGCATTTGCGAACTATGCTGGCGTACCCTTTTGATCGCATTTGCGATGAAAGGCTTGCAATTGCCAAGCCTGTGAAGCTCGCAATTGCGTAGCCTGATCTCGCAATTGCGAGATCAGAGGCCTGCAACAGCTGAAGCATACCAGCAATATTTTTCCTAAGTCCAAAACACCCCGTGGCCTATCCGAAACTCACCCGAGCCCTCAGGGCTCCAAACCAAACATACACACAAGTCTAAAAACATCATACGGACTTGCTCGTGCAATCAAATCGCCAAAATAACATCTTAAACAACGAATTTAACACCAAAACTCATGAAATTCTCAAGATAGTTCAAAATTTCTATTTTCTCAACCAAGGGTCCGAATTACATCAAATCTCTTCTGTTTTTCACCAAATTTCACAGATAAGGTCTAAATACCATAACGGACCTGTACCGAGCTCCGGAACTAAAATACGGGTCCGATACCAACGAGATCACACACTATTCCATTTCTAAAAATCCTTATATTTTCCAGCAAACAATTTTTTTCAAAAATTTATTTCTCGGGCTAGGGGCCTCGGAATTCGTTTTCGGGCATAAGCCCAAGTCCCATATTTTACTACGGACCCTACGGGACCGTCAAATTACGGGTCCGGGTCCGTTTACCAAAAAAGTTGACCGAAATCAATTTTAATCAATTTTAAAGGCAAATTTCAATATTTTTTTAAACTTCACATAAAGGCTTTCCGGAAACGTGCCCGGACTGCGCACGCAAATCGAGGAGAAAGAAAATGAGGTTTCCAAGGCCTCGGAACCCGGATTCGAATTCTAAAACAAAAGACGACCCTTTGGGTCATCACATCTTAATTCGCCCGGGACACGGTTATTTCGGCCCTAAACCTACCCAACACGTATAAAAGCAAGACGAAACTTATTGGTGAGGGGGTGATGCCACTTTTGAGGGAGAATACACACGAGAAACATTCGGAAGCGAAGAGATCTCAGTTTTTTTCATCTTTTTCTAGTATTTTCAATTATTCAACACTTATGAAATTGTTTTCTACTATGATGAGTGGCTAAAAACCCATTGTTCTGGGGTTGTGATTTAGCCATGAATATTATTGTTTAACGTTGACTTAAGCTTGATTACAATTCACTAATATATGATTGTTTCTTCAATCCTGTGATTAATTGCTTAATTGTCTGGCAGCAGTTAGGTTCTATTTACTATCTATGCTATGCTTGGGAAAGCCGTGTTTAGATTAGAGAAGAATTGAAGATACCACGATCTTAACTCTTAGGGGGAGCGGATTTGTGGTTAGGATAGGAATATACCTAGTCACCGTGCTTAATTAAATATCGTAATCTTAATGAGTTCTTAATAGATTGATTTCATAGGAATATAGGCATTAATCTATTTTGAATAGGCGAGTAGTACTTCGGGAGAAGGCTATGAGAGCAATTATCGATTAATTAGAAACCATGAGTGAATTGTATGAGAGGGAGAGTTAACTAGAACACAATAGGATTGGTGAATCGATCACAACCCTGGAATATTTGTCTCTATTGAATACATAACAATCATTTTACTGCTTGATAATTTAGTTACTACTTAGAATTATAGTTTAGTATAATCACATTCTTGAACTCGAAGTTAGCTTGACTGAATAACAATATTGGTGAAGTGGGTAGTTGATACAAGTCTCTGAAGGTTCGACACTCGGCTTATCATTTTGTTACTTGTACGATCACGTATACTTGCGTGTGCGTTTGGGACTAACAGAGATCTCTTCAAAGAGACAAAGACCATAAATTTTCTACCAAAAGGTCCATTAACGTCTATACTATCTTGAAAGTTTTTGTCTTAACTGTTTCAATTTTGTGACACTTGGCCATGGCTGCTTCGTCCATTGAGGAAAATGCTTTGTGGTCATTTACGATGTTGAAATTAAGAAAGTATCCTATTTAGATCTGTTATATTTAAAAGATAGATCTTTTTGCGTGTAAAAATAAATCTCCCATATATAAAAAAATAAAATCTGTTTTAAGAAATATGTCAAATTTATAGTGAACTATATATGCAGTACAAACTGAGTGTAAACAATATATATTTTACCTTGTTATATAAAATTTTCAATATTTTTTTATTCAGTTGTTTGGCTTTCTTTAAAATTGCATATATACTAATTTTTATTTACCCTTTAAATGTGGGTTTGCTTACTAAAGTGCATGCTTTATTTACGCCTTCTGCTTCGCTATTTATTGCTTTAATAAATCAAAAAATATTAACCAGCGTTACATACATCAAAACTATTAACTTATCAAATTTTTGAAAACATACAATTTTAAAGTTGAAAATGTTTAATTTTATAAAAACGAGTCGAGAAAGGTACATGGATCAATAGAGTTAGATCATTCTTTCTAAGCTAGGGCAACAATATGACACTGGTTTCATGAAAAATATGCCGATACTCTTATTTTTATATAATTGTACGGTAATAAATAGACCATCTGCTAGGGGTATTCTTTTCAATAAATCGAGTGATACGTACTATAGAAATTAAAAATAAAGCAACTTAGGGAGCAAAAGTCACATAAGAGACCTTATCGTTTTCATCTCCAAAAGGATATATACTTAAGATTATAATGAATTAAATTAAAGTTCTAGGTTGTCAATCTAATTGTGAAGAATAATGTAGTAACTTTTATTATGGAAAACCAAATACGAAAACATAAATTAAATATTTCAGGTATGATGAGCTTAGGCTAATTAAACAATCGGCATATTAAAATGGAGGAGGGTGACAGGAAAATAGAGAAAAAGTAAACCTTCAAGCAAAATCTTGATGTTTTGACTTGCGTAACATTAAAAAGAAATAAGGGTTGCCCAGACTATTTCTTAGTAAATTCCATTAAATATTCATCTCTGACATAATTGGCTGATTATAGCAAGCATAGCCTAGCTACAATTCACCAAGCAAATAAGTGTGACATGATTAAAGTCGTCACTTGTGCTCTATCTTTACTAAGAAAAATAAGTACAATATGGGTGGAGATGTTTGCATAACATCACCAGCAAAAGTTAAACACAATATTAGTAGAATTTTTACAACAAAAAAAGTTCAAATACAATTTATTTAGTTTTTAAGTTTCAGTTCAATTATTTCTGAAATAACCACTAATAATTTCATTACCCTTTAAAAAGGGAAGCCTCCATTTAATCACAAAGGTATAATTCATCCCACTATCGAAAAGTTAGAACCAACATAAAAACATTGATATATAATTGGCATTTGGTTCACGTGAATACACAGTAATAAATTGGAGAATGGCGAAAAGAGAAACAATCAATAAGAAGCACAGATCGCATTGCAGGAAGACAAATTAGGCAGTTGAAATGTTTGATGCTACAATAGAGTAATTCCAATAATTTGAATAGTCAAAGTAGGATGTAAACCTCTAAAAGAAGTCCATTCGATGAACAAGTACGCCATCATCATTCTAGTTGATATCCTTGGTGCTTGAATCTTTTACTGAACGGGTGCGTCTAGTGGTGGTGGAGTTTGACATCAAAGAACAGATATAACATGTGTAACTGAACTGTTAGGAAACAAAATTGCTTAGAAATTATGGATATGTGTAAGGTTTGGAGAAAAGCTTGCATTCAAATGAAATTCATGATCTTTTGGAAGAAGGTAAGAAGGCAAATGCACCGAGTTGAAAATCAAATTAATCTGATTTAAAAAGAATATATGTAATGGAATAGTTGTGACTCTTAATGAAAGAGTACAAAGGGTCCAATGCTAAATGAACCGGAGAGAGAAGCCCTCCCTTCTCTCTAACTTCCCTTCCAAATTTACCTCATCTTCATTCCATGTCCCAACACACTCTAGACCCTACCTTAATAGACACATCTATACCTCCAAAACCTCCAGATCCATTAATTGAAGTTAGATCACTAGCAGATGAGAGATTACCCTCCTTCAAGGATAAACTCTTATCCCCAGACCCAATAAACTTCTTTCATGGACAACACGTTTCCTCTTTTCCCATAACTAATGATTTTCATGAGGCCATGCCTGCGACTCCTCTTCAAGATGATCCAACACCCAGAGATCATGCTATTGTTCTCTCATCGGAGGAATTGCAACGTCTATATGAACCATGGAAATTCTCGGTTATTATCAAATTATTTGGTAAGCGTATCCTTCATCAATATCTCAAAAAGAAGCTTCATGAGCATTGGAAACCTACTGAACAATTTCCACTCATTGATCTTGGTAATGATTTCTATATTGTTATATTTTCTCAAGAAGCCAACATGGCCAAAGCTCTTTATCAAGGACCGTGGTTCATCAATGGTCATTATTTGTCGGTTAAAAAGTGGGTCCCTATTTTTGTTGCTTCTAATGAGAAATTAAACATATCTGCCATTTGGTTAAGACTACCACAACTCCCTATGGAGTTTTATGATAGTACCATTCTTACTAAGATTGGTAATAAAATTAGCAAGCTCTTAAAAATCGATGCTTGCACATCCGCTACTTTAAGAGGTAGATATGCTAGACTATATGTTGAATTACCTCTAGAACTCCCCGTCCGCCCCTTCATCTATATAGGTTCTCATAAGCAACCTATTCACTATGAGGGAGAAAATTTTCTTTGCAAAGGGTGTGGTAGATTAGGTCACACAAAATCCAATTGCGGCTATGTCTGTAAAGATCCTCCCACCAATGGTTCTTCTCCAAAATCTACAGAAAATCCCTCAACCCACATTGAGGAGGACCAACGGAAGGTAGTTTCCTTCTCCACGCGAAAAGATCAACACGTTAAAGATAACCTGCACTCAAAAGCTTCCACAAGAATTGCAGACACTAAAGATGGCTTTGGAATCAAGGCAAAAATATTTGATGCCACTACTGGAAAATATATTAATACACAAAAATTTATCTACAGAGAGAAGATCTCCTTAGGCACAACTCCTAATCCTACTACTAAAAATTTTAATTTAAACATAGGAAATAAATTTGATGTTTTAGACACGTCAAATACTAATCCTCTGACACATACTGCTAATATACAAAACAATAGTTTCAGCCAAAACAGAAAAAACTCTCCTTCGACATTTTCTATGCAAAATTCGGATTGCATGGAAGTGAATACCCTCCACGTGGCTAACAATAACATTAATAAAAACCCTACTAGCCACTTGGCTTCTCACAATCTCTCCAATTCATCCACCATCCACGGTTTTGATAGCAGACATCTGGTTAATAATCCCATGCAAAACCTTTATTCCTCTATTCAACAAATGGTAAACGACATCCCTAATCCTTCAAAGGTTAAAAACCTTACGCAAATCCACTCAGAATCCATGCAAATCGATGGTAAATCTTCCATATCTATCTCTCAAGATACTACCACTCAAGTGCCCTACGAAGCCTCAGATACATAAATCCCCCACACACTTATAATGCCTCATCTACCACTACTTCTTCAAAGAAGAACAAACCTTCTCAGACTTCCACGCCTAAATCACCCTCAAATGGACAACCTTCCTCCTCATAACAACCCCCTCATCTACTCAACCACCCCTCTCCCACTGAACTATCAACCTCAATCTTGGTTGGAAAGGGAAATTCTGGGGCATGCAGATCCTTCAGTCTAGAGATAGAAGGTCAGGAAGTTGTCATAATCCTCCAGAACTCGAACTTCCTAGCCCAGTTGATCATGGAGGGCATGCAACTAGCAATGAACAATTATGTCAACCAAACTTGGCTGACCAACATCTTGAATCCAATCACCCCAAATGCTTCTCCAACTTTAATCCAGGCCATGGGTCTTCCTGTTCACTTCAATCCCGCCTATGGGATTCAACCCCTTCAGAACCTACCCTTTTTTTCCACCTCAAAATCAAGTGAATCCAATCTTTCTAGCTTGGCAAGCAGCCGACCAAGTTCAGTAGGTGAACAATCCTGTGATGCCCCAGAATCAGGAAAACCCTGCTCCAATGGATGTACAACCACCTCCCGACGTACAAAACATGGGAAATCCATTACCAGGACAAGTGGAGGCAGTAGCAAGGCCATTAAGGGAATCTCAAATAGAGTTCAAAAGACTAAGAGAAATAGCAATATTGCTCTACAAGGAGAGGCAAGACAAGAAGTCTATCATCAGGTGCCCAGCAGCGTTATTCAAATGCTCAATGGACATCAGGCCTCCACTAAACCCAGCAGTAGGAAAATATGCAGTGGTGCTCAACCCTTCTATGAGGGACGGCCCACCTTTACGTTTGGAGGAGAACCAGGGGAATCACAACATGCAACCTTTACAAATGACACGTCCAATTAACTTCATAGTTTGGAACATGAGAGGGGCTAACAATGCCAATTTTTGTAGGAATTTTAGGGATATCATTGATACTCATAGGCCCTATTTGGTTGCTCTCTTAGAGACTCGCATACAGGATCATGTTGCTATCCAACATGAATTCAACTTCTCTTAAATGGTAGAGGTTCCTGCTGATGGCCGTTCCGGAGGGATTGCTATCATATGGATGCATAACATGATTACAGTAGATGAGCTAGTTATAGAGGATCAGGAACTGCATGCGATGATCAAGGTACTTCCCAATCAAAACCCCTGGCTTTTAAGTACAATCTACGCTAGTACAAACAGTTATAAGCGTAATTTAATGTGGCATAACCTTAATACCATCTATGATAAATACAAAGTCCCTTGGCTAGTAACAGGCGACTTCAATGATGTCTTCTCATCAGATGAAAAATGGGGGGGGGGGGGGGGGTTCGCCCCGATCAATTTTAATAGAACCACTAAGCTATGGAATTTGATTAAAAATTGTAATCTTTTTGACCTAGGTTTTAAGGGACCTAAATATACCTGGACTAATTACAGGAAAATGAGTAATGGCCTCATCATGGAATGTCTAGATAGATGTTTTGTAAATGAGGGTTGGATCAATCGATACCCTAATGCTATAGTAGATCACTTGCCTAGAACATATAGTGACCATAACCCTCTTCTAATTAGGCTTAACCCTAAATTCAGCCCCCCAAACTCTAGGTCATTCAGGCTTGAAACTATGTGGTGTTCTCACTCCCAATTTCAAAATCTTGTGGAAAACTGGTGGTATAATAGATCTTTTGAAGAGGCTCTCCCCATTTCTAAACTAGAAGCCTCTAAGTGGAACAAAGAGGTCTTTGGAAACATTTTCAAGAAAAAGAGAATTCTTCTGTCAAGAATAAAAGGCATCCAAAACTCTTACAACTACCCGGAAAGCTACTTCCTCATAAATCTTGAAAATCAGCTTATAAACGAGTATAATGATCTTCTTAGAAGGGAAGAGGATTTTTGGAAACTTAGGTCAAGAGTCAATTGGCTCAATAATGGTGAGGCCAACATAAAGTTCTTCCACATTTCGACCTTAATTCGTAGAAGAAATAATAAAATATCTTATTTCAAAAATGAAGATGGAAACTGGATCGATGATCCCTCCGAAATTTCTAATCACACCCTCAAGTATTTCAAAAATATTTTTACCACCTCCCTCTTATTTTCTAATAGGGCAGATATCATCAATGCCCCAAAGTCTTTTGATAATCTGGACCTAAACTCTTGTGATAGTCCTGTCACTAGCTAGGAAATCTAATGCTATTTTCTCTTTTAAACCTACGAAAGCCCCAGGACCGGATGGCATCCATCCCTTTTTCTATCAAAATTTTGGTCCGTGGTAGGGAACTCTGTTACAAACTATGTAAAGGATATTTTCCATACACAAAAAATTCCAAAACCTCTTAACTTTACTCATCTCTGCCTAATCCCAAAAATGCCAATGCAAACCTCCTAAAAAAATTTCGTCCAATAGGACTTTGCAATATTATCTACAAAGTAATTACTAAAATAATTGCTAATAGAATTAACCTTTCCTGTCTAAGATCATAAGACCTTTTCAAACTAGCTTTATTAAGAATAGAAGGGCGTGTGATAATAGCACAATTATTCAGGAAGTACTCAACAAATTCAAGAAGATGAAAGGGTCTAAGGCTAATATGATTATTAAATTAGACTTAGAATATTATGAATTGTATTACCACTAGTAGCATCTCCATCCTCATCAACGGCATTTGCACTAACTATTTCAAAACTACTAGAGGCATTCGTCAAGGGGATCCTCTTTTTTCTTACATTTTCATCCTTTGCATTGAGATGTTATCCAGATATATAAATCACCAAGTCGATTGTGCTAATTGGGATCCCATTAAATTAAATCCAAAAGGTCCAAACCTATCTCATGTTTTCTTTGCAGACGACCTTACATTGATGGCCAAAGTAAATGACAAAACCTGTGCCACCATCTCTAATACCCTCTCTATTTTTTGTAACCTATCATGACAGGAAATCAATTACAAAAAATCAAAGATCCTTTTTTCTACTAACTGTCCTCAACCCCTCCAGGAAAAAATTTCCAAAATACTAAACATTTCAGTTAGCAATAATTTTGGTAAACACTTAGGTTTTCCGATAATTGATAAAGCTCCTAAGCCTAAGGACTTTCTTTATATTCTTGATAACATGAGAACTAAGCTTGCAAACTGGAAAATAAATTATTTAAACCTAGCGGGGCGAGCTACTCTAATACAATCCACTCTTAGTAATATTTCAAATCATGTCATGCAATATTTCCAATTACTCAAACAAACCCTAAAACACATTGATCAACTCCAAAGAAATTTCCTGTGGAGTACTACTCCGGAAAAAAAAACGTCTCCACCTAATATATTGGGATACGGTTATTACTCCTAAAGAATTAGGGGGAATTGGAATAGTCAAAGCCAACATAAAAAACAAGGCTTTATTAACCAACCTTACATGGCGCCTGTATAATAATACAATGGCCCCCTGGGCTAAGGTTCTTATTAACCAATACTCCAATAAAGCATCCCCAAAGAATTCCTCCTTCGTATGGAAGAACATTGTGCATGGATGGAGCCTTTGTAATAAAGGCATAGCATGGAATATAGGTAAAGGAGATCGTATTAACCTTTGGGATAATAGGTGGATTCCTAACCTCCCCCTTCTTAGAACTATAATCCAAGGCCCTCTCCCCCTTAAAGAAGAATGCATGCTAGTAAGGTATATCCTAGTCAACCACAAATGGAATTTTGATGACCTCTCCTTCTCTATCTCTAGTAATATCAAGGATGCCATACAAAGCTTTCATATAAACAGTTCAAGCCTCACCATTGATAAGCCATACTGGTTTCCCACGACTAGCGGAATCTTTAGCATTAAATCAGCCATAAGCCTTTTCTCACCTACTAAGGATCCCTTCATAAACATCATTGATTTGGAAACTAAAAATCCCTAGGAAAATAAGTTTCTTTCTTTGGCTTTGCTATCATAAAAATCATCCCACTAGGTCATATCTCCTTCGCATAGGCCTTAATATCGATGACCTTTGCCCAGCCTGTAGAAAAGATAAAGAAGATAACACACACATCTTCAAAACATGCCCCATAGCTGTAAGATTTTGGGAAAGCTTAGGTATCTCCCGTCCAAACTCAACTAATATCCACTGGCTCGATACTATTAGACTCATGCAACCTACTAAATCTTTTCCCTCGCTGAATTGGGAGGATACATATCCTTATGCCCATTGGCATATATGGCTCAATCGCAATAACAATAACATTAACAATGACTCTAAAGATGTCTCAGTCACGCAAACTCTTAACAAAGCTGCCGAGTTTAGGTACCTCACCGGTACCCAACACCCCTCCTTAAATGTCAAAGATATCACCATCATTTGGCACAAACCTAGCATGGGCTCTTACAAACTTAACTGTGATAGTGCTTATAATATAAATAATAACATTGGTGGCTTGGGAGGAGTCATACGCAACAGTCATGGCCAATGGATTGTAGGTTTTCAAAAACTCACTAATGTCATTAGCAACACTCAAGCAGAGCTTCTTGCACTGGAAACAGGTCTAAGAGTTGCTGTTCAGTTTAAGCTCCATCTTCTTGAAATCGAAACGGACTCAAAAGAGGTAATAACTCTTCTCAATACCAAATTTATAACCATATTATCTCTACACGCAGGTGGTCAATGGTACAGCTGGGGATCCCACTGCTCAAACATAACTTCCGAGAAGCAAATTCAGTAGCACACCTTTTGGCAAAAGACAGTACAAAGCTTAGGAATATGAACAAAACAATCATCCATCATGCACCTACTCCAGCGGTGAAGGCAGCAATGAAGGATGATGCTTTTGGGAAATCCTACCTTAGACTTATATCGGAGGAATCTTGTACTAAGTTAGCTAGTATGGGGAATATTAATGCAATTAATAGCTCTAGTGCATTTGTAACATCTCCCAGTTTCGATCCCAATGGGATGGCTGGGAATGACCTATGTAATACTACTTAGTTTCTAAAACACATTGAGGTAATAACTCTTCTCAATACTGATCACCAAATTTAGAAACCATATTACCTCTACATGTAGGTGGTCAATGGTACAGCTAGGGATCCCACTGCTCAGACATAACTTCCGAGAAGCAAATTCAGTAGTACACCTTTTGGCAAAAAGACAGTACAAAGCTTGTCACACCTCCTTTTCCTACCACACCCGCAGAAGAGGGTATAATAAAGGGAGTTATTTCCAACTTGAAGTGACAATCGGAACGGGATTTATTATTAAATTTTCAGAGTCGCCACTTAGGAGATTAATGGTGTCCCAAGTCACCGGTTAAATCCCGACCCGAGGAGATTATGACTCTATTATCAGTCCGCGAACCAGAAATCCAGGTAAGGAATTCTGTTAACCCGGGAGAAGGTGTTAGGCATTCCTGGATTCCGTGGTTCTAGCACGGTCGCTCAACTGTTGTGATTGATTTTATCTGATTTTAAAACATGTACTAACCTATGTGCCCTTTATTAATAAACCGCTTTTATTTATATCTTATGAGAATTGCAACGTAGTGAAAATGCGTCTTGAACCACGTCGCACCAGTCACCCGCGATTGTTAACACATTTCGACTTCGTTGAGATTTGGATTTGGGTCACATAAATGTGCACCCGTATTTAGGAAGGTAAATTTATTAAAATACGTGCCTAGAGCAACTACGCGTTTATTAACTGTGTGGGGAGCCATGAAATTCGCTATATGGCACATCCCGAGGTCTAAATATTTTGATATAAGCAATTAATGAGGGCCCCGCAATTTGTGTGTTTATTTGGCGAGGCTCGTCTCGTCTATTGTTTATTTTAAAGGGTAAATCCTAAAGCAATCTATGATTTTCTATATTTATTCTTCTTTAACTATTTGTTACTGGACCTAATAGTGATTTTATACTGTGTTGCAGCCACTGGGCTCCAGGACGAGCCCAACAAAAGAAAAGGTTAAAATTACGTGCACACCATAAACTGACCAAGCAGATCTAGGCCCAGGCCCAAACGTACACAAACATCTAACCGAGCCTGGGCCGTTCATTGAGGCCCTGAGACTTATTCTTTTTGATAATAAAATACTGAGCCCAAACTGTTAAGCCAGGCCAGATTCCAATTCAGATTCCAATATGCAGTCTTATTGTTACGAATTAAAAATCGAAACAGTCCAGAAACTTATTCAAGTTGTCCTATTGATATCAACCTAATACTGCCCAGTTTTAAATACAGAAATTGAACATTGGATGCAATCTATACTACATATAGGATTAAACAATGGATGCAATCTTCCCAGAAATTAATTACATAATCAGAATTAAAATCCATTGCACAGTTCAGATATTCAGTCCAGTTATACAGTCCTTAGTTGAATACATACAACAATAGAGTCCTAATCAATCACAAATAAAGCAAAGGAGTTCAATGAGGGAGGCCTGATCAGCACTTCATTTCATTTCAAATGCCTGGGAAATACAAGATGTGTACCTGATATTCAAAATACAACAGGACGAGGAGGAGTTAGCAATAGCAGTGCAGAGAAGTTGGCAACAGCAGTGCAAGCAACAGTGATTCGAATTTCGAACAGCAGACAAATACAATCGATTTCAACCCAGAAATAACTCAATGATCCAGAATTATTGCCAAACCAAACCAGATTCGTACAGCAAACCTCATACAGTACCAAAATTGACCAGAAATGAGCTTAACCCTAACACAACCAGTAAACGACCAGCAATTAACTCGAACCAAGCAAATCTCATGCACATCTGAATTGAACAGCTTGTAAATATCAATGTCGAGCAGAATCAGATGAATTTAAGTTACTTCTCATCCTTAATGAGCTAGGAAATTGGATTAGGGACTGAGATCTGAAAATGAGCTAAGGAGGGATTAATGTAATAGTAATTTTTTTGATTTTCTGGAACTTGTGGAGAATCAGAGAGATGGCTTTGGGGGGGGGGGGTCGAGATGGCTGCCAAAAAACCTCCCTAATCAAGACAAATGAATGCCTAACTTATAGGTGAACTTAGGGTCCAATTTCAGATTCTCTTTTACCCCTTAGTCCCTATTCTAATTTCAGTGTTTACCCTTTACTTTCGACTTGTTACACAAGTAACTACCCTAAGTTTATTAAAACCTACACTATAGTCCATCTAGAAGGTTCTTATACTTATTACAATCCTAATTCTATCCTTACCCCCTTTCAAAAATTACCAAAATCTGTAAAAGTACCCTTTTCCCTGCCTAAACTACCCTTTGAACCTCCTGAAATTACTGCCAGACCAAAACCCTTTTACTGTAATTGCTGGTTGACTATCTTGTTCAGCTATAGCCAAAAGATTCCCACCAAATTGAATTTTTGCACAATTAACCAATCATGAAATCCAACCCTAACCATGAAACTACAAATTGCAGTGACCACTCATGAATCAACTAACTAAACTAAACAAAAATAACTATTGGAATAAATTTAAACCAAACATGAAGACTGAGAACAGTACCTCCACGGAAGATCATTAACAAATCATAAAACTTAATTAAACCCTAAACATGAAACTGTTAATACATTACTAATTAAACTGATTTAAACTAACTAACTAATTAATGCTAACTAACAGCAACCATAAGAGATTACTAATCGGTTCAGATGCTGAGGAACGAATTGAAATCCAACAAAGCTCAAACAGGATCGACCAGGACTCGAAACAAATCTAAACTAAACTTAGGAACAGATACGGAACCCCAAAAATAAGAATAAAAAATAGAAGTAATTAGCAAACTTATTGAATAAGAGCATTCGACTGACCATGGGAACTCTGACCGGCCATTTGTTTGAATCCTCGGGATTCTTGACACGTAACATCCCCAATCGTGTGTTTTCAAAAAACACACACGATTAGGGAAATTAAGGTCCAAAATCCCCAGGATTTTCTGAGTTTAGGGTTCTGCAGTCTAAGATCTAAATTCGAGAAGTTTTGGCAACATTCGAAGATCTGGTTGGGGATTCAGGTAAAGGAGAGGGAGGGGGTATGGGGTGTAGTTTGGTAGGGTTTGGATAGAGATAGGGTTTTGGCCGGATTTTTGATTCAATATTTGAGCAGTTCCGGCCATGTTCGAGACAAATGGCTATGGGGGTTGGGTAAAGAGGTCAAGGCGGTTAGTTGGTGTTAATTTGGGTGGTTTGGACGGGGTTGCGTCGTGGGCCGGAAAATCTTCGATTGGAATATTCGACGAGATTGGCTATGATTCGAGGGGAGCTGAGGCATGGTTGGACAGGGGAGACGAGGGGACGTCAGTAGTTGTATTTTTGGTGGGTCATCGGACGCATCGCCGCGCGCGGCGCGATTTTCGGCCCCGCGGCTGGACGGTGGGGGTAAGGGCAAGAGGAGGTTGGTCGCCGGCACCGGCGTTACAGGGTACGATGAGGATGACTTTGTCTTCAAAATTTTCTGAAGATTTCGGACACTTTATATCTAAAATACTAAGATTAAAACTGGGCCGTTGGATTAGAGTGGGTAGACGGCCTGGATTTGATTTTGGCATTTAACTCAAAACGACGTTAGTATGCTTCCTATACTACGTCGTTTTTGTTGGTCTCACAGGCGTGGGCATCCGAGACCGGGTAGGGGTAAACTGGGCTGGGTTGGAATTTTCGTTTGGGCTGACTGATTTTGGCCCAAATTTGGTCTCCAATTAAGACCATTTTGTACTTTTTTCTTTTCCCTCTTTTTTTTTCTTCCGTTTATCTATTTTTGTTATTTTTTGTATTATTATTTTTTCTGATTTTATAAAATGTTAAAACAAAGTCAAAGACCTAATTACACTATTTAACTCCTAAAATGTCGTATAACTCTATTTAAAGAAAATCGGCAGATATTAGACTTAGTAACTGCATAAAGAACTATTTTCTTGCATTTTCTTTTACATTTTATTCTAAGAATTAATTAATACTAAAATTGTGAAATTAAATCCTAAAATGCCAATGCATATTTTTGATATTTTCATATGGATTAAAATGCACAATAAAAAATGCAACAATTTACAAAGAATGCCACAAATTCAAAAAATTTATAAAATACTAGAAAAAATTGTTTTGTTTGAATTTTGGAATTATTGCTTAGGGCAAAAAATCACGTGCTCACAGCTGCCCCTCTGCCCGAAACACAAAGAGTTTCGTGCAAAGACAAGTGTAGCAGAAATGAACGATTTTTGCCCGTTTGCATATTCCGTGTGAAAGCATTTTTTTTTAAAAAGATTTGACCGCACCCTGCTTCAAAAGTTGCCTACATATCTCTGGCTAAACAGGAATCAGGTCAGTGTAGTTCGGGAAGTTTGGTAGCTGGGGACTACCAGGAGCTGTGATTTGCTGCTGTTGTTGCTGCTACTGCATCCTGACCTCCTTATTACACCGTGTCAAAATAAAAGAAGCTAGCCTAAGCTATGAGTTACAAAGGGTCCTATCTAGGTCTTCAAACTTGCTCTTGTGCCGCCTTGAACTTGTATTCTTTCGGTGGAATCCTCTGTTGTTTCCTTGCATATATGATCGGAGAATTTTGCCATTCTTCGAGTGGTGCTTGCACTGCTGAAATTTGAAATATATGCCTCATTCTTCAGCGGGCTCCTGATTGCTAAATACTTGAAAAGTATTCCCTTGTTCTCCAGGGGGCGCCTGATTGCTAAACTTTGAAAAGTTTCCCTTGTTCTCCAGGTGGAGCGGCCTGATTGCTGAAATTGAAAAGTAATTCCCTTGATTCCCAGGTGGGGCCTGATTGCTAAAACTTTGAAAAGTCATCCTTGTTCTCAGGTGGGCCGCTGATGCTAAAAACTTGAAAAGTTCTTCCCTTGTTCTCCAGGTATGGGATCCTGTATTGCTGGAAACTGAAAAGTATTCCTTGTTTTCCAG